AAATTGAGTCTGCATTTTAATGACATTGATGGTGATTTTTTCATGCATTTGGATAAGGTGGGGCTTTTTTTCCTCTCTTTGTTCCATGGTCATTCCAATATACTCTAGTGTGGGCGTGTGAATGACTGATTGATTTGCAGGATTCTCTAATAAGGAGGAAGACTTTTCCAATATTTGCTGCTTAAACTGCTCTGTTCCTTCAGGCCATCAACAGAATGTCCATGAGATATCTTCATTCTTCTCTCTTTATTTTTTAAGCAATGAACTATGAACTTTGTTGGAAGTCCCTAGTCCCTCTTCAACACAACTGAAATGTTGTCTCCCACTGGAAAGCACTAGGAGATGGTAAGTCAGTGACTTTGAGCATTTTCTGATAGGAAGATTTCTCAGATTTCAAAGAGGATTGGTGAACAAACACTTCTCATTTAGTGACAGTATAGTTTTTTTTCTGGATGCACTTAGAGAACAGATTATGGACTGTAGCAATGACTGTCTCTGCTACATTTTATACTTGCACAACCCCCACGATGATTTTAGTGCTGGTGAGGGAAGAGGCACAAGTGTGGCTCTTCAGAATGATTTTTCTTATTTTAAAGAGGGTCCAAGATGCCAAGTGCTACCTCAGGAGAGCGAAGCCCTTTACAGAGGCAGCAGATGCAGTTCAGCATTGCTCATTCTGTTGTGCTTCAACTCTGACCAGGGAAGCGCGAGCTCTTGGGACAGAAAGTGCTCTGTTTACACTCAGACCTTGGCATTTTTCCTAAGGGTACCAATTATAATGGTGTTTTTTGTGATATGGGCACACATCCATTATGAATTGGCTTGCACCCACCAACTCATTTTGTACAGGCCATGGAACATCCATCAGATGGCAACGATTCCCATTCGTGTGCAATGTTAGGGAAATCTAGATCATTACCAGCAGAATAATGAATTCCCTAGAATTGTTCCATTGTGCAATTATATGAAGTATGCTAAGAGAAAGGGCAGTTTCTCAATAAAGTACTCCTTTTTATTTTCCTAAACCACAGGAATGATAGATTATTAATCATGATTAATGCTCAGTTACAGTGAATTATAGTGGAGCAGTGCCTGGAAATCCCAGTCTGCTTGGTAAACTCATTTTCTTGCATAATAGGAAACTTACCTTGCATTTAAGAGAACCAAACAGATGAAAGCAATGGAACCACCCATTTCATATAATTAAAAGAAAAATTTAATAGATACATACATTATTAGTCTGACACTCTTAAACTTTTTTTGATACTGTACAAGCATAATAGAAGAAATACAATTGCAAACATCTTAATTGCTCCCGTATTTTACTTTCTTCCTGAGAACCAAAATCTTCTAGAGCCCAGCTGTAGCACTCAACCTGAATCCCTAAGCACCACTGGAGTTAAGGCAGAGCTGTGCATTTTCTGGACATTTGGAAGATGTTGGTTGTTCTAGTTGATGATTGCTTGAGAGCATACAAATGATCAAAGTGAGGGAAGTCAAATGAAGTAATATAATATATTCCATCCCTATATCTGGGGATGTACATGACATAATTTTTGCCAGCCCCACATCTAGGACACTCATTGTACATGGAGAGGAAGGCACCAGAACAACATTATGGAAGGGCTCACGATCAGTCAGAGAACTTAATATCCTTTGAGATAACTGAACATTAAACTTTTGGAAGTCCCCAGAGTCTTATCCAATATTCAGCAAACATCAATTCCCCTAAAGTTTACATCCTAACCCGTACTGTGTTCTGAGAACAGAGTGAACAGAGGTGAAAAGACATTTTTGTCTCAAGGATGAGACTGCTGGGTCATTTCCAAGAGGAGATCCTTAGAGAGCATCCCATGGTCCTTTCCTGTGGAAGGTAGCAATGCAGCTCTCCGTTATTCTCTCTGTCTCTCTCTTCCCCCAAGCAATCTGTCAGTGCATTTCTGGTGCCGGGGAGAGGCGTCGTGTCGGAGCGCTGTTCCCGTTTGCAAAACGGGAACTTCTATTTGTTGTTCTCAGGAGCTGGTTTCACGCGCTGACATCTCCCCGGGAGCACAGCTGAGTCCAACATGTTCCCAACAGCCATCCACCCAAACGCCTCCTACTCCAGCACCCAGACCTTCCTTCCCAGTAAATAAAAAATACAGAGACAGCCTCGAATTGTTCCAAATGCTTCGGCTTCACTGGAATGTCTGCCCATGTTCAGATCTGATAAATGGGTATTTTTCTGCACGAGGAAGTCAGTTTAGTGTGGGAATAGGATGGCTTTTCAAAGAGTTTCTGGAATAGTTAATGGAAAAGTCTGACTGACTTTCTCTGGTGTCAATATGTTTAAGTGTTCCTACGTGTCATGAAAGTACAATGTTGCAATTACCAACTTTAAGACAGAAAACGAAGTTATCATAAGCTGCTGATTCTACTGTGTTGTATGAAATAACATGTTTTTCAAAGTTTCATGGCTCAAAAATGTCTCAAAAAAAATCTACTTCCTAAAGCAGGAAACTGAGCAGTGTAACCTTGTACACTTCAGGCAAGGAGATATTTCTGCATTATTTAAAACACCACCAACAGCAGCTCTCAATATATCCCAGTGTGATTCCATTCCTATTGCTGGGACTTCCTGTCTAATCATGGCTGTAGTAATTCTGTCTTTGACCTTACCTGTGCCCTGTAGTAGACATGACCTCAGTATGCCAACCTATGCATTAAAACACACACACACACAAAAAAAAAAAAATTAAAAAAAATATTTTGAATAATGATTCCCAGGAAAAGAGTTAGGAAAAAATCCACATTTGTGCCAAAAGCCCCCAGCCCCCAGTCCAGTTCCACAGCTGAATGAGACTTCACTTGCCATACCAGTTATACTGGTGTGGTCAATATGTTTTTTCTTGCAGACTCAGAACTGGAACAAGACATCCTGGCTTGAAAGGCAAAGTCCCCATCTCTGATTCCCTCACTGACAACATTTTGGGGTATGCCACCCTCTGGTTTCCCCTCTTGGGCTCCATCCAGCCATTGCACATGGAATCTCCCATTTTGGAGATTGAAATCAAGAGCAAGGACTGCCAATGTACATCTTTATTGGTGCTTCTCTAGGAACTGGTATGTGGAACAAGCTTCCCTCTTTTCTGACTCCTAAATGTCTTGGCTCACAGTTTTTATTCATAAATACCCACATGCCACTTTGTCAAGGACAACCTGTGGTAGAAAGGATAGAATGATCCAAACCTCTGTGGCCTGATATGTAGAAGTGAGAGTTTAGCTTAGCTTTGGAAGATTTAAGATCAAAATTCTGTGGGAGAATGCAAACTGAAGCATTAAAACTCAGCATTGCCCATCCTGGGGTGGGTGGCCCAAACCAGTGCCTCCTGAAAAGCAATGTGTTGTGTTCTGGGGTTTGGGTCCAGAGCAGGCTGGGACAGGCATGGTATGAAGGACTAAAGATTTAGCTCCTTCAGGTGACTACAGCTCACAATGGGACAATGCAAGATAAGCAAATCTCTTCTATTCCCCACCAATGTCCTGTAAGGAGCAGAGAAATGAGGTGCTCTGGGCTGCTCACTGCATTGCTGAGGTTTGGTGTCTTCTGGTCACCAGGCTTTGTAAGACACCTGGAAAAAGGTTGTTAGTGGCTCTACTTCTGGCTTTCTGATTTTTTTTGAAAACATGAGTTTTCTAGAAGGGGGTAAGGTAAGGATATACACATGATTTCCCCCCCATTAAATGTTTGTGCACCAGGACTACTCTGTGGCTTCAAAGTGGCTTCAATGATTTTAGAAATGCTTAATATTCCAGCATCTTGCCCAGGATCCTTGTTTGGGATTCCAGAGACACTTCTGCACTGAGATCAGTGGGGTTTTAGGGAGAAATTTTAGTGCTTATACAAAGCAAACACTGACTTTGGTGTTAGTCTATAAATACCTAATGTGAGCAAGCAATTCTGTATTTTCCTCTGTGCTTAATACCTGTGCTCTGCACCCTCAGGCAGCTGAATTTACATGTTTTTGTTGTCATATGTGTAATGTGCAACATGCATTACCTTTTTATTAATCAGACCTGCCATCAGAAAAGAGATAGGGGGAATTTGAAAGCACAACCAGGATAGATACTGTCATTTTGTAATCTTTTGTGCACAGGTGGAGAAACCTGTTTGTTCTAGAATAGGTGGCAATATTCTGTTTCTTGCAAAATTCTTACAAATGAAAATCAAGCAAAGGAGTTACTGGTTATCTATGGGGTAATTCTCCTCTGGAAATGTGCAGTCAATTCCCATTTAGGCTAATTACACTTAAGAAGCCCTTTCCTGTAACTAATGAACAATAGGCATAACCTGTTATTACATAACCATGGGCCAGCACATTAATACACTGTTGAATTGCAGTACACTGTGAAAATGCTTCCTCCACAAAAGTCACTGGAGATTTTCAGTGACATTCGCTGTAATTACCAGTAGCATGATTTCTAATTCATTAATTTTTTTTTTCTACCTATACTGGGCATATAAGAGTGTTTTAAGAGATTGAATAAATAAATTTTTAATTATAAAATGATGTTGTATCATAAATTATTTATAATAACCAACAATGTGTAACACATGTTTAGGTATGAATCCATTAGGAAGATGAACTAATATATATATATCAGTCCTAAAATAACGTCCTAATTTGTTCTGTGCTTATGAATGGCGAAATCAGTGTTTAAAGCAATTAAAGGTTTATAAAAGCTTGGATTGACAGTGGGTAAAGCAGCGAGCACACTTGGCACTTAGGAATTCTGGTTTTTTTTTCATTTTGCTATGGCAGAGAAGACCCCTTTTTGTCCTTTATTTGTGATATCATGCCACCAGAGCGGTACAGATATAGAGACCTCCAGGGAGGCAGCAACAAGATGCACGTAGTCCTCATTGACAAAAACTCTGGCTATGATTAATATTAAAAAAAAAAAAATCTCCTTTGTAATCTGTCAGGTAGTTTTGAGGGATTTTGCCAATTGTTTTCCTATCAGCGATAGCAGACTTCTGAAATCTCCATGGCGAGCTCCAGGCACTCCCCAGTCTCGTGGCAGGACTCAAAGAGGCTGCAATCAATGTCACAGTCGCAGTTGCAGTCGTTGTTGCCGTGGTCTTCGTCGGAGGTCTGGTAATATCTATTGGATGGACAACAGGTATCTGTCAGCCAATGTTCACAGGTATCAGGCAGCATTATAAGAAAGTCCCAAAACTGGCAGAACAAGCAGGCCAGGATAAGTGTTGCGCATTCATCTAAGAGAAAGGAAAAGCAGGGAGACGTAAGAACAAGTGTGAGCTGGGATTACCCAGGTTTAGGCCAGTGTGGCTACACAGAGGTGAGGGGCTGGGCTGAAAGTACATTGATGATAATGACTTCCATAGAGACAAGTGAAAAGTTTATTTTCTATTTTAATTGCTTTGGGAAAACAGCAGCTGTATGAAAAGAATTTGAATGGAGACATTCTATGGCAGTGAAGTCCAGAAGAACAAACCCCTTAAACCAAATTTTATCTTCTCATGCCTGGACAGCAAGGAGGCTGAAGAGGCACGAGAAGCTGGGAGGGGACACAGGCAGGACAGCTGACCCCAGCTGGCTAGAAGGATAGTCCAGACCATATGGCATCAATATAAATTAGGCAGAAAACAAGCAGGGGTTTCTGCTCAGATAACTAACTGGGCATCAGTTGGTGAGTGGTGAGCAATTGCAATTTGTATCCCTTGTTTTGTAATTATTATTATTATTATTATTATTATTATTATCTTCCTCCCATGTAAAAACACTACATTATCCTATTACACTGTATTTATCTATCCCATGAGTTTTCTTCCTTTTACCCTTCTGGTATTCCCATTCTGCAGTGGGGCAGTGAGTGGGGGGTTCTGTGGGGCTGAGTAAACCATGACAGGTGACACTGGAGTTTATTTTCATTTTCACAAGAGTTTGCACTAAAAATGTTTAAAGCCTGCCAAAGACAGGGAGGGAGAGCAGGTCTGGGGAAGAGCATTCATAGAGGGGAGTGTGTCTCAGCTCATGGTCCTCCCAACTCCCCACCAAACAGGGTTCTCACCTTTTTGTTCACAAATGTCAATTTTTCAAAGGAGACAAAAGTTTGGAAAATAGATTATGTAGGATGTGTGTCTGGAGCCAGTAAATATTCCTGAAAATTTTCTCACCATGACTAAAACTCTGTGCTATGTTTGTGCCCTCCCAAAATCAACTAATTAACTCCTCATCCCTCAGCCTCCAGCATCTGGGGAGACTTCTTGGGTGCAGCAGGTGTGAGATTCCAACTGTGTGAATCCACTTGGAGCACAGACCCAGATCTTTCCTTTTTTTTTTTTTTTTTTTTTTCTTTTTTTTTTTTTTTTTTTTTTCCTTTTTTTTTTTTTTCCTTCTTGTTTTTGGAAAGGAAAAATGCCTTCAACAATATGAATGTCTTTTCATTGGTTCTTTCAGGAAAGCATATGGTTATAACCACATTTCTTGCCCTAGGATGACTAACTGTGAACTCATTCAACTGCATTGGTTCTGTTGTGGCATTTTCTAGCTCACGTAACATGAAGTTCACTGCCAGGAAGTTTCCAGAATTATGCTTTTTTTTTTTTAGAAAGCTTTCTTGATGAAAAATACAAAATTAAAAAAAAATCATTCCAGCTTCTTTATTAAAAAGGCAAGGTAGCAAGAACAAATAGCATATGTCTGAACTTCTTTCTAAATGGCATATCATCACCAATGTTATCAATTTTAATACTTATTTAAATATGTCAAGATCTATTTAGGTTCAGACAAGCACAACTAACTTCTAAGTGAGTTCTGTCAAATAAGAATGACTAGATTTTGGTGATACTCAGTAAGTTCATGCTTATATTTTTTCCTAGCTAAATGAACTGAAATAATTATAAAATTGAAACAGTTAATAAGGTGACACCACTGTATTTAATTGTATGAAATTTACACTGTAGAAAATGTAATCATTTTATCCAGTAGTTCTTGGTGTAATTAAGACTATTCTTTTTAGATTACTTATGTTTATGAAATTTCTTTCCTATACATAGATGTGAGAGACAGAATTCAAAGTTATGTCTCAATTAAGGATTTGGCAATTTTTTTCTCCCTCTCCAAAGATCCATTTTTTTAATAACAGGTTTTTTTCCTGAATGTGTTACCATAATGATGCTTGTGTAATCTGGAGAGAATAGATATAATTCTTAGGGCTTCATCCAGGAAAGATAGTACACAAAAAGCACAAGATTTTAATAATAAAGTAATGTTTCAGCACAGACTCTGTGATGTGCAGTAAAGATGCTTTTAAATTCCCATCAGAGCACACACCATGAACTGTGATAATGGATGTAACACATTTCAAAAAATCTGCATGTGTGAGGCTTTTTGGTCCTGTTTTAAGTGGGGTAATGTATATAAATAATAGATATTAGCAATTAGACATCCATTCCTATGCATTCATTTATATATTTGAAAATAAATTAGCCACAAACTGCATAAAAGAAGATGCAATCTCTTGTTTTCCCCTCTGTTTTCCCTGCTGTTTGCCAAACGGCATTACTGCGTTTATCTCAGTGAGAACAATGACCTCAGCTCTCGTTCTCTACATTGCTAGATTAATTAGCACAAAAGAAGAATTTATAATAATTTTTCTAGCATGCCTCATCTCTAAGTTTTCCTGCTCTTGTTTGGTGGCATCTGCTCACACAGATGATGCTCTGAACAACCCTGGTCCAAAGCTTGCTGAAGCCTTTCTGGTCATCCTTGGTGAGACCTATGAGTGTTGTATTTGCTCTTGTCTGAGCACAGGGAACAAAATAATCACCAATTTCCTCATCTATTTCTTTGCCTTCAGAGGTACTCCAAGCACCAGCAAACAGGATTTGGCCTTGTGTATGTAGAATAAGCAGTAAGTTGTCAGAGTGGAGTGAGCGGAGTACGCAATGACAACCACAAATCTGTCTTCCTTTGGTTTTCTTGGCTTCTATCCAGACCTTAACATTATTAATTAAGCACAGATTGGGGTTTTTTTGTTGTTGTTAATTTCCTTCACATTTAGCTTTTTTAAGGAGGATGAAATCTGTTATTTGCATCACATGGTACACACCTGTGTGCCAGTAGTGGTTGAGCTAGACCTCAGACTCAAAATAGGGAGTGTCTGGACAAGAGGCCAAGTCCCCTAAATAAAATAAATACTTCTAATCCTTCTCTGAAATTGAGCATATTCCAATAGATGTATCATAGACATCCCTTTTGTAAGGATCTGTGACACAATAGAGATGTTAATGATTCTTGGAGAACAGGGCACTTTATTGTGTTGATCTGTATTTAGAAATGCTTAATTTAGGAATTGTTAAATGATATGCATGACAGATCCCAGCTCCATTGGATATAACAGGCTAATCCATTATTGCAAAAGGCACTCCAAAGAAACTTCTGAAATACTTCACAGAGCCTTTTTTTAACATCCACTGGAATAACCAAGAATAGATTTATCTGATACTGACACTGGTGTCTCTGTGCAAACTCTCACTACTAAAGTACAAATGCTCTGTGGCACAATAAGCTCTAAGCTCCTCTTCTATGACTTTAGTATCACTGACAATTTAAGATCATCATCTAGAAATTCTCATCTATCACACAAATGTCTTCAGGGCAACTTAACATTGCTTTTGGCGATGTTCTTGAACCTCCTGTTCAACATTTAATTTCGAGTTGGTTATACATAGTTCTTTTGCAGTGGGCATTATTTAGAAATCAGCTCAAATGTGATCTGTTTTATAAAACATACCGTCACTGTCTCTCTGATGTACTGATGCATCATCTTCAATGTAAGTGAATTCTCTGCATTTCTCCAGGGAAGCAATGGATGATCTGCTTGCATCTGACAATTTCTTCTCATTTTTGGTACCCTTTGATGAAGCGTCTGTGATGCTGAATTCTGCGACAGAACTCATAACAATACCTTTCATAGGCTTTTCATCTGTGTGTTTTTCATTTGTAAGCTGGTTATCTGGTGGGATTAGGAAAAAAAAGACTGTGATACCAAGGCAGAGATCTGAGAGAATAACATATGCAGAATTTTCAAACCTACAGTTGTTTACTTCCAAGGCCTAACCCTTCTCACCTAATGATTTCAGTCTCTTTGCAGAGGTTTATTCATAGTAAAGGTATTTGTGAACTTGCCTTCTAAGGCTTTCTCTTAAACCCAGAGGACTTAGAGGCTAAGTAATAATTCACTTCCAGTGGGTGGGATCAGGTTTGGAAAGAAAACAGAACTATTGCCTCGGCTGACATCTATTTAGAGTTTGATATCCTAACTTCAATTTGTGACATAAAAGAAGGTAAAACAATTATCTTGTTATTTATCAGCTGCAACTTCATTGCCCTAAATTAACAGCCAACAACGTGCATGTAGGCGGTACCTGGATGCAGGTGTGCCAGATCACCGTGGCTCATAATCTTGTAGCAAAGACAGCCAGATGGTCTCTGCTTAGCATCCAGATTCCTTATTTCATAACTTCATCCCCACTTGCATTGTTGGCCTGGAAGTCAACTAGGAGATGGGATACTTCACATGCTGTCAGCATGCCAGAGAGGCAGCTCAAAAACCAGAGGGAGAGCTTAATTTTAAGCCCCAACTAGGGGAAAGGTTAAGAAGAGTTCTGAGTTCAATTTATTCTCGAAGAACTCTTCAGGCACAGATAAACATGGGTTGATATATAGTTTCACTCGATCTCTGAAGTGATCAAGTGGCCAAGAAACACAGTCATTCTCTCCATGGAGGGGATGATAAAACCTCATCAGTTCTTATCTACAGCTGATTAACTCCTGCACCTCACATCAAGCACAGCCTCACTTTTTATCTCACTTAAATCTTGTGATATGCTTGCTCTTGAGCTATATACAGAAAATCAATCTTTACAAACACCTCAGTTTTGCAAATGCTACTTTCTGAGAGGAACAGTGAGTGCTCTGAAGTAGTTCGTCTGCACTTGCCTGCAAGGAGTCTGAAGAGAGGGCCCGCATATCTCTTGGTTTTTAGGTACCTTTGACTTCTGACACATGGTAAAGAAAAGCCAAGGAAATGCTGACAGAGAGTGAAACCTTGATGAGACTGCAGCTGATCCCCCACTATCCTTGCAGAGAGAGGAGGAAATGTGGGTGGGATGGATGGATTGCAGGGTAAGTGAAAAACCAGTGCAACCATAAGGCTTGAAGAGGGGGGAAGCAAGGATTTGAGAGATAAGTGGTATCTTGCTCAAGTCCAGTGAAGGCCACTGAGGTGGTGAGGGGTCTGGAAGACCTTCTGTGTGAGCAGAGGCTGGGGGAGCTGTCTTTGGTTGGCGTGAAGGAGAAGGCAAAGAACAGTTCTGGATGCCTTGTTCCCCTCCAGAGCCAGGGAAACTGAGAAGCCAGACCCCAACTCCTCCCAGCAGGGCACAGATGGAAAACGAGGAGAGGGCACTGTCAGAAGCTGCAGCAAAGGCAACTGGAACTGTCCAGAGAAGGAATTCCTCATCATGGGATGTGTAAAGCACCAGAACAGACCACAGCAAGGCTGTGGTTGTATGAAGAGCTGGGCATGGACCCCAGCAACCTGCTCTTACTCTGGGTTTCTGACAGAGGCTAAATGTGGTGATTCTAGAGTCCCTTCCAAGCTAATTTTCCTATGATTTATGTGACTCCATTTACTTACAGAATGAGTGAGCAAGTAATTTAAATTTCTAGACGTGTTTCTAGCCATTTTCTGTCATTTTTACCTAGTGAAATACGTAGAAGCAGAAAAGCTGGGTAGAAGTTAGTAGAGATCTTGGGATAAGATAAGTATAAAAACTAGGCTATCATTTTCATTTTAAATCACTGCTTTAAAATTGTGTGTTGGCAGAGGTAACTGACTTCTTGATTTTGAAGTCATAATGACAACAAAGTCTACTGTGATGGAAATGTGAATTTCCCTGTCCAGGAGACTTGGCCTTGGGCAGGGAGTGAAAGATGGAGTGGAGGCAGCAAGAGAGCAGTGGCACAGAGAGGCGGCTCAGAAACCTATAACTGTCAGGTTTTGTGAGCATTATGGTGAAGGAAAGCCACAGGCAAGATGAGAAGGACAGGAGAGGCAGTGGCACCACTGAGTGTGACCCAGCAGTGTAAAGCACAACAGTTCTCCCCTGAGCTTGTACCCTTGGTCATAGGAAATCAGCATCCGAGGCTATGCATGTCTGGGTTTGCCCATCTGTGATGAGTTGTTGATAGTTTTCCCCTCAGAGCAAATACATACAGCTTTTTCCCCCCTCCTTTCTGACTTCTTGGCCAGCCTCTTCAGTCCATAATGTGAAAACTCATGTATTTTGGATGTCCTTTCATGCAGAGTCATGACTGTTTTCCAGTGTCTGTAAATCAATGACATTCCACAGGTTTGCCTGCACTTTCATTCAATAACAAACCATCTCCAGGAAAAGTGCTGATTAAAGCAGCAGAGCTCAGGAGGAAGCAATGACCCTCTTAGGCATTAGATTTATTGGATAGCAATTGTTTTGTGAGTCCAAAAGACACAAGCCCTCCCTGTTAGCCAGGTGCCAATATCACAAATGGGTCCTGTTTGCTCACCCTGAGAGCTACACCCAGGCTGAGCCTTTGGATACACATGGATCAGATCAAAAGGCTTAGGCAAGAATAACTATTATTTTCCACTTTCAAAATCTGCCCAAAAATCTAAACTAGATATGTTTTAATCCATGATATATTTGTTGAGTTCCCCAATTCCGCAACAATACAATGGCCCACGGAATGGATTTAAGCATTCAAGAGGCGAGACTGAAAAAAAGTCTGACAGAAGTAATCAGTAAATGCCAGACTGACATTTACTGTATCCACCGACTTCTACTATTCATACTTGGAGTCAATTTTTATTCTTGAAGTGCTGTTGAAGAGAAATCAAAACCAGAAATAGAAAGGCATAGACATAACCTGAATTTTTCAATACAGCACCATCAAACAAAAGGGTAACAAAAGCTGTCACTCAGAGACTCTTCTGTTTGTTAAAGCATACTACATCTTGGAAAATACAGTACATTTTAGTGTCAGACTTTTAGTTTGAAAAGCTCCCTTTCAGTAATGTTATACTTGTCTTGTACAGCTAGATCAAGTCTTCATGCAATCACTGTAACAAGCAACTTGCTATGACAAGCGAGATCCTTGCTTCCAGAAAACACTGCAGGAGAGGCTAAAGCAGTGTACAATTATAGGTCTCCATTTCATTTTTATGCAATTACCTTCAGTTCAGCTGTGGGTCCATCTACATTATGTCTTTTATCAATTTAATGTTTGCACAAAGTGTCTGAAGAAATAAAGATTGTGCTAGACCAGCAGAAATAAAAGGTGGTTAGCACTTTTTTTTTTTTTTCTATTATGGTTTGTTGCTGGATAGAACAGTAGTAGGTTGAGAGTTTGGAACACATAGATGTAGCCAAATAGGCTTTAAAAATATATTATATACCACTGATACTAATTATGATTACTGTTAAATGAGAATATAAAAATCCCCAAATTACAATTAGAGATGGGAAGAGGGTCAAACTTTGCAACTCTCCTTTAAGAGTCTGTCTTCAGCTTCAAATGCCCACATATGTCTGTGTTTTTAACATATAGAAATCAACCACTGAAGTGAACTTAAAGGGAAAAATAAGTGTATCATGATGAAGAAATCTCAGATTATTCAGTGTTAGACTGTTAGGCAGAGGCTGCTAAAGGTACACCCCCACAATGTGCCATTTTTAAGTAGTATGAAGTAGCAACTTTCTTCCTCACATGGGGAAGCTGGGACTCGCCTTGGCTGTTGCAGTAGAACACTGGGATTGTTCACCCATGTTTGTATTAAAGATAGTCTCAATACTCACTTGGAATTTCTTTTTTCTTTTTCTTTTTGGAGTTGGGCGATTCAGATGGCTGACTACAAGTGTCTAAATTCATGAAAGCACAAAGTAAATCACTTACTTTCCACTGAGGCCAGCCCCAGATCCCTCTGGTTAATAGGGAGGAGCAGTGATACCAAGACTGGCATTTGCAGTATGTCCCCTGACCTCTATTTCTCTTCATTGGCTTTAGGCACAAACCAGCATCTTGCAGCCCTGGAGAAGAGGAGTCTGCAGTTTCCCTGCATGCTTCTGAAATTAGATTTACTATAGAGGTATACAAGGGCTCTAAGTCTATTTTTGATAAGGGACAGAGGGTTTAAGAGGTGCTCTGTTCTGCTGAACAGGGACTGCAGCAATGCAGGTAATCCAAGCAGCTCTCAGAGCAGCTGTTTAGGAGGAGACTCCACTGAAGGGGAAGGAGAATTGATCTCTGACCCTCCTAGGGCTCATCCATGTCTTACAAGCAAAGGACGAGGGAGCCTGTGGCTCTACTCAGTGCTGGCATTTATTCCAAATCCATCCTGGCAGTGGCCCTTTGTCTCATGCCCCTGTAGCAAGGAGTCCCAAGGGTTAATGCTAAACTGTGTGGAAAACTGTAGCAGTTTAGGACCTGTAACTTTTTAATTTTCCCCTGAGGCATGTTGGTGTATCAGTGCAGCATTCATTTCCCCGTGCCCTGCTGTCGCTACCTGTCTGTTTAATGTAGCACATGCTCATCACTGAAAGGGCTGTGTGCCATGTCCATTCAGTCCCCAGATGACACAGGCAGAGCTACATCAGACCTGATGGATGAAAACTTGTACGTATGAAGGCTTGGTCTGAACACAGTGGTTCTCATAGAATGGAGAAACCCAAACCTCAGGGTTTGACAGCAGTGCTTCAAAAAGGCAAAAGCCAAATAAAAACACAACGCCTTTTCTTGATCATTTAATGGATATAATGGCCTGCCAGGGAGGGAGTATCTCTGCATGCATGGGGACAGCATCTTACCTGGATGGTCCTCACTGCTCGGTGTCACCCCAGGGAGGGCCAGTAGAGGCAGGGAGCTGGTGCGACGGTCTTGGTGGAGAGAAGAAAACAAAATTGAAGAGGGATAAGTGTCAAATGAATGTGGTTTGGCACAGCTGTTACTCACAGCCACTTAGTGACAGTCATTGACTTCACGAGTTGTTGGTCTGAGGTCAAACAGAAGCAAATCTGCTTCCTTGCAGAGGGAGGTTACATGGCATGGTGTGCTGTTTGTGTTACCCTCTGTCTTGTTTCAGGAAAGGAAGCAAAAAATAAACTGCCAAGACAGAAAATTTCACCCAAGAAGAGGTGAAGAGAATCACCAGCAAACACAGTAATTCAGTTAGGTACAGAAAATTTGAGAGCTGGGAGGTCTGAGATGAAATGTGGGGCGTCACCCAAGCTCAAACACCTCAGAAACCTTAAATGAGGATCCCAAATCTTGAGTAAGGGAAGAGAGAGGAAATTTAAGCCCAAACTCCAAGCTTCATGGCTTGTCAGTCTTGGTGGACAAGATGCCCAAGGTCCCTGTGGTAACAAGCCCAGGTCCCCACACGGAACAGTGCTGAGCTCCTCCACCTCAGATGGGCCTGCCAGGCTGTTCACTCCATGCCTAAGGCTTGGAGACTTAAATCTCCTTTCCTTCTCTCTCCATGTGTCAGGGAGGCAAAGCAGGAGGGGGTGTGGGACTATCCCAGCAGTGAGTGCAGCAGATGGAGCAAACTCCATGGGAACTGCTGTTGCCCACATGGGAGAGGCCGGAGGGAGCGTGGGCGCCGTGGCCCATCGAAGGGAGCTGCTCCAGACCAATATATCACAGGGGCTTTCAGAGATTCGTGCCCATTACATTTTGCTGAGCTCAGGCAGAAGGATGCAGGGGATTTGGAGACTGTTTATTTTTGTCATGAGGAAACAGGAAATAGTACACAAGGCTATAAATATATCCCGGGCTTCAGATGACATCATGAACTCGTGCAAGTGCTTCACTACTGATTTACGATGATGGACTGGTAATTCACAGGAGCTTTGGGTTTACTTTATTTTGCTGTTGCAGTAACAAAGCTAATGGTGCAATCCCAGGAGGGGGTATTTTATCAATAGTGAATTTTTGACCTCATTGCATACATTGTACTTCATGAATTAGTGACCCAGCTAACTGTAAAGCCTTCTATAGGCTTATTGTAAATCTATCATAGGACTGGCAAAAACTTTTGGCCCAGATCCTAAGCTCTGACAGGCATGTGTTGATGGACTGCATAGCAAGCACTTCCACTAATATTTCTCACTAATTATGCCATATATTAAGAAAAAATGAATGAAGCCAATGTTTATATGCCGCTTTAACTGCTTTTCATATAAGAAAGCAACACAATCCCTAATAAATTTTCACCTTCAACATTTCTATTCATTATAATTTTTACCATGATGAATGAAGTTAGAACTGGAAAGGGAGGGGGTTCATCTTGAAATCTGTTCAGTGAATGACTGAATTTACTTCCCTTCCCCAACTTGTGTCGAGGAAGGAGGGAACAGATGGACACAGGAAGAAGAGGGAGGCGAGTGCGGAACGAAGGAGATGGGTGAGGAACAGATGGAGTCAGGAGAAAGTGAAGAGGAGAGTCAGCAAGGATGGTAGAAAAGTTTTCCACTTGACCTTGAGTTGAAATGAAGATCTGCATGCAGCATGGGGCAGCTAGATTTTTGGGATGTATCCTTTTTTTTTCTCCATGGCATTTAGCTATAAGGTCTTGTGGGCCATCCCAGCAGCTCAGTGCATCCCAAGGGGGACAGCAGAGCCAGGACCTGGATTTTCCCTAGGGGTCACCTGCTGCAGAAGGGCACCTGCACTGTGTTCAAGTCCTCTAATGGTAATGGCAGGGGAGAACCGTGTGCCAACACAGGAACAAAAATGGGCTGGGATGTTGTAATTCTCCCAGGCATCCTATCCAAGCCAGAAATTGGAGTTTATAATTTTGAAGAAGTGTATTACACCCAGTTTGTTAGGATCCAATGGCCAAAATACTCAGAGTAATTTATGATTTTACCTGCTTAAAGCAAGACATTCGAGATGGCCTGATTTTCAGAATACGCTGAGCATCTGTGTTTTGATGTGTATTGAATTATATATCCCAAATCACTAGTAAGTCCTGGAAAATCTTGATTGTATTCTTAATTCGGTTAAATTGCCTGCATATACTCCACTGGTTCTGGCTTTGCTAGCTAAAGAATGGAAAAGGTGAAAGCTAAATATTGGCCATGTGTGTCATTCCCTTTGAAGAAAATGGGAGCCATGTGCACTCACCTAACAGCAATGTTTGGCCCCAACTATGATTTCACAGCTGGGCCCTAACTTCAGGAATGCCAAAGCACTAAATGATTCAATTGGAGTAATCTGATCAATGCTGTATTTTCGCTGTGGATTTAAATTGCACACACAGCAAGAGCAGAGTTGGTTTTCTTCTGTCTCAAAATCACTTTTCTCTGCAGACTTGATAGCATAAATATGAAGTATTGCTCTCATCACACAAATAAGTGAAATGGCAGAAAACGTATGTCAAATAAAATGTACAACATTACGTCCTTTTTACTTTTTGGAGGCTGTTTAAGAAAACGGCTTCATTAACTTTGACTGAATAAAAGGTTCCTTTAAGGGATTTCAATAGGTGACATGAAAAATGTTAATACGAATGATCAAGACAATGGAGGTTAAAACTGTTTTGAAAATATGTTTCTTTTATAGATCTTGGCTGTTGGAAGAGTTACAGAATAAATATACGGTAGTGCTGACATTCAGTGCTGTTTCATCTTAGCAAAGAGTTTTTAATAAAGAAAATTCTTTTCAAGGAATGCTTTCTGCAGCCAGTCTTCAAAAAGAGGTTCCCCCCCCCCCCCCAGTTTAATAAAATTAAAGTAATTTATGTCATATTGATATGTCGATATGTTTTTCAATAAACTTTTTCACAGGGATTTTTTTAAAAATTCTTTTCACTTTAAAAATTATAATTATATGTCTTCCTCCCACTTTGAAAATGGCACAAGGTGCTCATTTGCAGAGCTCTACTGTTCAAATCTTCACTGAGAATAGAAATGTCATGACTCAGTTAACAATGCTTTATTATTCACATTGATCTTTTTTTATAGTGTTCTTTATCTCAAAAACATTGTAAATCAGATATCTTCCTCCCACTCTTTTGTTCATTTGCAAATTTTTATTATTCTAGTTTAAAAAAGCAATGGAGTGTCAAGAGTCAGTGTATATTGTTTATGTTCTTTTTTGCTTCAAAATTACTTTTAACTATAAAAAGTAAGATGTATAGCAGGAAAAAAAAGCTGGATTTAAAGATGCTTAAAAAAGAATTGAAGGGATCAGTGTGAATTTTATGCTGTTCTCTTACACCTTGGAGTTGTAACGACTTTGCAAGAAGGGGGACTGAGCAATTTATGGAAAGGTTTTTATGTGCTAAGTCCAAAGTCCCTGTTGCATCAGACATCATCATCTGTGTTAAAGGCTGTGCATAATTCATGCCCTAAATGCCCACAATAGCAAAATTCCCAGTGTGTTCACTGGCTGGTTTGCAGGGCCTGCCCAGAGCCCTTCCTGTCCATGGCTCCCTGTCGCAGCCTGCTGCGAGGTCCTCAGGAGCCTCAGCTGATGAGCACCAGGATAAATCACCGAATTGTCACAGGAACCTCACAGCTTTGGTATCAGTGTTAACTGAAGCAGAAACACAACATCAGCTGGTCAACAGGCAAGGCAATCCCTGAAACCCAGGGGGCTGGATGTGGGATACAGCTGTGCACCTTTCAGGAGAGCCTTATAAGAGCCCTCAGGACTTGTTTGTAGATTGGGTCTCACAAATTCCCCTTTAGATTAGCTCTCTCAAATTCCCCTTCAGCCACTGTTTTCTTTCCCTGTCATTTTTTTTCTTTAGGTCCATATTTCTGTCCTGGCAGTCCTGACTTTTTGAATGGCTTCCATGAGATAAATCTATTGCAGGAATTGGGGTTGGTCCAGAGAGCAGCAGGATCTCATAGTATTTCACATGCTTCTTGCTGTTAGGTAATTTTTTTTATCATCTTCTCCCTGTTTTGAATTTTATGATCAGAGCATCCTGGCACCCTGTTGTTATTCCAGCAGGTCTTGAAAGAGATCATCCTCTCTGGGAGTAACTGAGGCAGGGTGGCTATATAGCCTGTATTCAGGCTATACCTGAAGTTGTATTTAAGCTCCAGACTGGATTTTTTTTGTCTTACTGAATTATAGAGTGGTTTGGGTTGGAAGGGACTGAAATACCATCTAGTCCCAACCACCCACCATGGGCAGGAACACTTGCTACTAGACCAGGTTGCTCCAAGCCCTGTGGAACCTGGCCTTGAGAACTCCAGAGATGGGGAGGACCGTGTAGGTGTGTGGTGGCCCTATTGTATGAAACAGCCCTAAAAAGTGTTGTAAATGAAGCTAAATTCTGCTTTCCAAACTATTTTTTTCTTTCTTTTTGTTTAAAACTGCACTCTGCTGAGATTTGCTAAAAGGGATAATTTAAAAACTCAGAACAAGTCACAAACTGAACCCAAACTGAAAGCACACAGCCCTGTCCTCCCCACTCCAAGTGGAGGGCTTAGCAATGCTTGTTTTTATTAATGTCAGTAGGTCACCCCTGTTACCATATGTCTGTGCCAGTCCCTGTCCTCTTCCCCAGGTTGGGATTTGGGATGCACAGCACCACACAGAGCCCCTGAGGCCATGCTCTGATGGGGCTGCCTGCACACCCCTCAGTGGCTGCTGGGGCAGATCCATCCCAGTGCTCATGGACATCTTCTTGTTTTGCAGGGCTAACTCAAACCTCTCAAATTCTCTTTATTCCTCACTGCACAGAGTGAAACTGGAAGGTTTGATGTATTGTCTCATTTGAATTGACCTTACTGTTTTCAAAGCAGAGACAAAATAAACTTTACAATTGTTATTGTTGTTATTGTTGCTTTGATGTCACTGCTGCATTAATTCACTCCTCCTTCCTCTCGTGGTTAATGACTCACCCCACAATGAGGTT